AACCTCAGGTAAATAAATGTATCTTTATTAAGGCGAATATTGTGTTCAGTTGTTCTTTTAAAAACTTATTTAAGTCTACTAAAATGTTCTTCTTTATTAGAACCCGAAACAATAATATCGTCAATAAAAACACTTACCCCTTTTATATCCTTGTGTAACTTTATTTCTTCTCTTCTTTCGCCTCTTGGTCTTCAGTTCACTTTATCTATGTTGAGATTTGTAGATGCTGTTTCTCTTTTATTTGAAATTATTTAATTTTGTTCTTTTGTTCTTTTGATAATCATTGCTAGTTTTATAGCTCTTTGACAAGGCTCTCTTCTCTCTCATTGTTCCTAATTCACAAGCAAGTGATAAACGGATACTGAACTGTTCAATGGTCTCAAAATCTTTCTGTTTGGCTATTAAAAAGTGATGCTTCTCATTGTTTATATTTTATTATTTTCCTCAGCTGTTCAAAATTCTCATTTCTTCGTCTCCAATAAGGATTAACAACTGAACAAATTGCGTTTCTTCTGATTTCTTTGAAATTTCTGTGGCTACTAGATATATTGTAAATCTTTGCCTAAAGAATTTCCAGTTCTCACTTGCATTTCCAGTCATAATCATCTGAGGTACTCCTTTAAAATCCATTGTCAGTACTTCGTTTGTTTATATTGTTATTTAATTTTTTGTCGCAGCGCTATGTAAGGTACGAAATGATAACAATGCATTGTAATCATTGTTATCAGTTCTAAACGAATCTCACGTTTATTCCTTGTTGCTCGTCCACACCCTTTGTCTGGTATAGGTAACCCAATGTCCATAGAAGGCCTTGTGTTGCCTATACCTCACAATTGATGGCTTTTTATCGATTCAAGGAGTCATTATTTAACAAAATTATGACCTCATAAGTAATATACGTATACCAAAACATGCGAACTTAAAAAATCAAAATCGACAAAAATTTAAAATTGCTCAATAATATTTTATCGAATTTTGTCCTAACATTCACCTGTCCACTGTACAATATTATTATATTTTTTAGATTGCTGCTAAACTTGTCGAATTTTTACTGCTCTTTTATAAAAAAAATATATTGAAATTATTCCACTTGCACATTTTTAAACTCCCTTCCAGCTCTTCTTAAAATTGTATCAAATTAATTCATTTCTCTTGTATAAATAAGATTTTTTTTTTTCATTAAATGAACAATAAAAAACGCTTCCGACAAATGTTCGACAGAATGTCAACGCTTATATTATGTATAAACTGTTCTCAAATTGAATTTTAATTATATCGTAGGACCTAAACAGGGATCTGAGTATAAAAAACGAAAGCAAACTTTTCGAATTTATTAATTTTTGTTCTATGGTTACTTACGAACGAGAAATGGGGGATAAAGTTATATTTTTAGAAAAAAATTGCAAATTAAAAACAAACACGTTTTTAATGTTTGATACAGAAAGTAATCATTAAAGAGGAATATAATAATTGAAATTTGAATGAAATATAAAAAACTTTTATAGGAACATAATAAAAGAAATGTGATCTTGAGTTGAACGAAATCCTACCTTTCAGTTCGTAAAGAGTTCGAACTATTTCGCACTACCATATAAAATTAGGTGTTCTTTAAGGTTCTGCTCCAGAGCCAACCCTTTTTTCATTTTCATTTATAATTAAGGAATGTTAAATATCCTAGGAAATTCACTCCATTTGCTAGCGATAGTAGATAATTCAATATTATTAATAAAAATATTAAAAATGTTAAAATCTGTTGCTTTGCAAATCTTCTTTCAATGTAAAAACAAAAATACCAACCTTAAAGAGACATATTTCTGATAGTTTTACAGACGACACTATAGAAGTTATAATACAAATACTTTTCGATATATTAAGAGAGTGACTCCGAGACTAATACTAGTAATAATGATGGAGATATCCCGTAAAAGAAACAGAAACTAATTCAAGAGCAAATGCCAGGTACAAGCTTGAATTTTGTTGAAATAATTGAAGCAGGTAAGTTTTTAAGAAGTTTTTAACGATACTTTCGATTGAATATTCGTTTCTTCGCTTTTCAGATGAAACACGATTTATCAGGTGAAAAGAAAACAGTGATACCAAAATAATTTCCGCAAAATATGAACCGCCCTTTGAAGTTACTGACAAGTTTCTCAACACCAAAAACTTAAATATAAGTAAAACGACTAGAATTAAAGTTGACTGTAAAAATCTTACAATTCTTTTACTTAAAGAAACCTTCTCCGATATCAAAAAATGGAAAAAAATCAATATACTTGTTAGGAGGTTGTGCTGAGCGTATTATTGCTCCTAACAGTTGTACCTCGACTAGTTCTGAACTTTAAATTAACGTCAAAGAGAGGGTCGTGGAATGACAATAATAAGCAGTATTCCAGGAAACTGTGGTGGTTTAATTTTGGTTACTGTGAATTTACAGCAATTTAAAGCAATTAGTGATAACTTAAATATAAAGAAATGCGTTAAAATTCATGCACAATATTGTTATTATTATTATTCTTCTTCCAATTGGTACCAATCGTTTATAGCTTTTATCAATGATACACATGCATCTAATTAAGAATAGCAGCCTTTTTAATTATAGAAAATAAAATAATAGTACCTATGTAACATGCAAAGCGTTCGGAGCACAATAGTGGTACTCCCTTGGTAATAAAGCAAAGCCCAAAGCCTCATGTTAGGTAACCGAAGAGTAAAGAAGAGTGTAGAATAAAGTGCGAAAAATGAAGAGCGAAGGGAGTATAAGCAGTATAAGTTAAATAGGAATGGTCTTACTTGTGTCCCAGTGGTCCATGCAGAATGGTGGTGATAACATATACCCTGAGGTGAATGTACCTTATGAAACCAATGCAGTAGCAGCGATTAAGCGATTAGGTAAGCAGGTCTATCTTAGATTAATTTAGTCCAATGTAAAACAGTATATAACCAATTTTTTTAGGTAACAAATACCAGCCCAAGATAAGGTGGCCTACAAGAGAGAACAGAAAGTATAAATAAAAGCCTTAGACAAAACAAAATGGATGACAGAAACCATAGATGACTTACCACGTGGTGTTGGTTGGCCTTTAAGATAATGTAAATAGGTAAGGAAATAAATTTAATAATCCACAGAATGTGATTTCAGACTTCTGAATATAATTTCTTTCCTTAGAGAGATGATTCATTTGCTTTGTTGAGTGCAAAAATCCGAAGTAGAGGACGAATATAATAGCACATGCTACAAGTTGCTAACCCAAAAGCAGAATTACCAGAAGCTTGAAGGACAAAACCAGGCTGACCACTGGTCAGTAATGGTATCCCTGTCATTTTAAATATTTGTCACTACTGAAACAGACCTTAACTAAAAGAAGAATTAGTTGGTGATCTAAACAGGCTTGTCAGTAGAGGCCTAACCGAAGAAAGGTATGAGAAGAAGAAGTAATAGAAAAAATAGAAAGAAATGATTTGGAATATAAACAAATAAAATAATGGACTTTTATATTAATTATTTAATTGGCTGCTATTGTGTTTTATTATATGAGAAGTAAGTAATGCATTTTTAATTATCGCTTCTAATAATCATTATGAAGGCAGTAAATTATAATAGCAAACTATGGTGTATCTAATAAATACACTAATTAGTTTAAACCCGTAACATACTGAAGAAAGGAAAACCATTGCCGACCTAAAATCTACACAAATAAAACTTCTGCTTCCTGAAAGTAAGATAACTGATGATTCCTTACCTGGAAAATCCTGAGCAACAAAAATTTTACAGAGAATTTCTAAACATAAATGAGGATAGCTTGGGGCCAAGTAGCAGCTCATCTCACCCCTACTTATGATCTATAAACTAAGTGGCACTTAGGACTATAATTTTGTTATTACTTATAACCTTTTTAAGATACATACCTTGGCACTTATGCCTTTTTAGTTTTAGTTATGTAAACTTACAAACATTTTAATGTTGTAATACAAATTTTAGTTTTATATTTTAGGAGTTATTGCTTCTAGTTATTAGGGAATGTTGTAAAATCGTTTTGAAATAATGTAAGGTAAAAAAACACACTTAATAAAATTGTTTTCTTAATTATCTCATATTTATGAATTTGGCACTTAGTGCGTTTGGTACTTCCACTCTTTAATTATGTATCAACTTCCATTTCCTCTTTTTTACTTGCAATAGCCATCGTTCCATCTTGCCAACTTTTTCTGCCACATACCCAAGAACCATCCATAAGTACAGGCTTAAGGTTATCTAGCTCTATCTCCTTGTTAAAGTTTTTTAAAAACTAATTTTGTTATAAATAAATCGCCAATTTTTCGAATCCATGTGTTAATTGACCGTGCAGGAATTTTTCCCAAAATCGTTTATGTAACAATTTCATTGTTACATGTTGCGCACATTCATACATCTTGTATAAAACTTGCCTCAGAATTTTTGGGTTTATTAACTCTATAAATAGTTTCTCTTATAACATGAAACTACATTTAGGATTAAAGTTGTTGATTAACCACTAAATCGTTTCACCATTTTGTTGAATACTTATAAAAAAGGTATTTTGATAACTGCCACCTGACATAATAACATGATGTAATTAATCTACGACGTGCCAAAATCTAGTAACTTTTTGTTTCATCCATTTTTCATTTAAACAATAAAGCAAGTAAATGGACTTTATCTCTGTTGGTATACAAAAAATGTTTATCTGACAAAACTGCAGTACCGCACTACAATTCAAAGTTAATAATGTTAGTGAAGAGAAATCGTTCTGGTTTGCAGAAGCATAACTGAAATATTTTGAACCCTATAGAAAAATTTCGTTCACCCGGTGTATATAGTATCGTTCATTTTTTGTTTTAGACAGCAACATACTTTAATACCCAGCTTTTTAGCCGGCAGCTGAATCCCGTCACACCGACTTCATCCCGCAAAACCGCAAATCAAAGCGTAGGTACCGCTCTAGGGCATCCCACGAAAGATAAAATCATTGTCATGTACTCACCCCTGGGCTGTTGGAAAAGCTGGTGACGGCGTCCTGGGGTTGACGTCGAGGCGGCTTACGGATACCCCGACGGGCCCTCGCCTTCGCAGCGTAGTAAATTCGTATGTACACAAATACCATGATGCAGGAAGGAATGTAAAATGAACCCAATGCCGAGTATACGACGTAGCCGGGCTCCTCGCTAAGCTGTAAGTAAAACATTAACATTAATTAGAATTTTGTCGGAGCCAGTGGCCAGGATGAGTTTTATTATGAGGCCAAGATGGCTTAGGGATGGATATAGATAAGACTTGAGGGTATTTAAAATGGATATCAACACTTAAATTAGTCTTGTGTGTAATCGGCGCAAACTATTCAATATTCCATGTGGGTCATTCGTATTTTAACACATTTCTGGACACAAACAAAATAATAATGTTTAAGGAAAGCTTAATTGTTGGTTCATTTGCAATGAAGTGAACAACATATACCGGTATTTGGGGCTTAGTTATCGTCTTCAGTTTTAAAAAGTATACTAAAAGTTAAATACAATGTTTATAGATTCTGCTGTACTTGTTAACATTTTAGTAAATTAAATCGAACACAGATTCTCAATTTAAAAACATTAATTTTTGAAAATGTAAAATGTAAATCTTAAGGGTTATATACCGCCGCATCCCCGAAGTTAAAAAAAAAACAAAAACAAATTAAAAAAGCTAAGAAACAAAAAAATGAGTGTGCTGACTACCTGACTACCGTTGAGGGTTCAATTAATCCCAATAATGGCTTAAGACGAAATGGCCTGCTTTTCTTAAACAAATATATGTCACCCAAAGCCTCTAGAAATGTCTAATATTTAAAGCACTTTCCTATAAGCAAACGTACTTCCAGAACTCTAGATACGATCTGAACCACGTACAAGCATAACTTTTAATAAAACTTGTAATAAACGAAATAAACTATAGTAAAAATACTGGAATATGTAGGAGCGAAAAACAACTTCTCCATAACCCCTCGTAATGACAATCGCTTGCTTCTCTAGATTTACAAAGTGAGCCTTGCGCGTATTGGTTCTTCTACATTTATGCTGGGGAACTATAAAACCTGCTAGAGTTGATTTAAGAGTCCTTTTTATTTATCTAACTCAAACTTCAATGTGCTAGTGTTGTGTCGACAAATTTACTAGTTTGCAGTTATTATGTGTAGATTTAGATAATTATCGTGTATTTTTTATATGTGTTTATGCGTTACCGTTACCGGTAATTGTCAGTGGCTCCAAGTTTCTCCAAATCCGAGCTTCAAGCTCTAAGCTCCAAGCACGAAGTTCCGAGCTCCAAGTGAGTTTCGAGTTCCAAGCTCCGAGTGAATTCGAATAAGCTCCAAGTTACGTAGCTTCACAAAGCTTCTTAGTCTCCAAATAAGCTCTAAGTAATGTCGAAGTAGCCTCAAGTAATCTCCCAGCTCCAAGTTTCGAAGTGGTTTCAAAATAGCTACAAGTAGCTCCAAAGCACCTTATGCAGCACCAAGTCTGGACATATCTCCAAGACTCGACATAACACCAATTAGCTCCAAGTACCTTCAAAGTATCAGACAGACTTTATCTACCTAGAGAAGTACCGCTTTAAAATGCCAAATGGTCTAAACAAAGAAACAATTTAAATATAAACATTCAATTTTATTAAAATTTTCAATAGTCAATTTTTCATCCATTTTTTTAGTAGCCGTTAATTATTAATTTAATGTGTAATTGTAACACAGTAGTTAACCAACTGGCGAATTGGCGCTGTTTGTTAACTCCGTTAGTCATCAACCTAAAGAAGAATATAAACACCAACACAGTAGTTAACCAACTGGCGAATTGACGCTATTTGTTAACTCCGTGAGATCTCAGTAAATAGTAACAATAATTGTAATATACTTTGCTAATTATTGCATCACATTTAATGTATGAAAAATAAAAAGAATCTAAATATAAATTTGTATGTTTTATTTATTAATTTGCACCAAATTTTTCAACGAATTCTGGTTTACCTTAATTAACATTATCACAACGTGGATATATAAATTTTCAATTAATTAACTAGACAATCACTTTTGCTGCTAGAGGAAAGAGGCCACATTTCAGAGTTACAGTACTGATAAAATTCTACTAATTAGGCTCCGCTAGGGTCATTTATGAATAATGTACAGTTATTGATTTAGCTCAAAAATCTATCCAAAATATAATTACTGCAACATCAAACTAACCGTAGACTGTCCTCTTCTTGTACGTATTGCTGCAAATCTTGTCTAAAATTTAAGATTATGGATACAGCGTGTAATATAAAAAATCTAAAAACTTATCCGAAATCTACAGATCCAAATCCTCATGTTGTGTGTTTTTCTTTAACCAGAGACTGATTTTAAATAAAAATAAAAAATGAGTGAAAATTTTAAAATTTTGTGTGGAAAATGCTATTTTTTAATGCATATCTAAGCTTTTCTGTTACAGCTATTTATTGACAATACTAGATTCCCCCAGTATAACCAAACATCTCCAAGCCAAATGCGTTTACGAAAACAATAAATAGCTCGCTGAATGTTTTTTTGCAACCGCACAAAACTTTTCTCAGAAATATAAAATAAAATAAAAAGTTCTCTTACCATTACAACAAGTTAGTCATGGAGTCTCTTTTATCTTAACTTCCTGACGTAATTGCTTAAAGCAGAATGAAGTTGGCGAATGTAATTCTATTACTGTGTCTACCGTCTCAACTCTTAGCCAAGATTTCATATACCCATAGAGAAGTTTAATGACAAAAAAATAGAAGTTTACACGGCTAATACCGAATAGCCCGCATCGTCGGAGTTTCGTTTCACCTTTTTGTACAATTAATAAAAAACTTTTTATAAGACGAGTAAGGTCTGGTTAGGTTTAAATCGCGTAATATAAGAACATTCAGATATATTTAACAAGGCAAGTTTTGTTTTATTTATTAATTGGTAAATTAGAAAAATGGAATTAAAACAAAGACGGGTAAGCTTTAGGTTATAACTACATAGATTTACTACACCAATTTAATTTAGTATCATTAAAAATACGTAGATATCAGGCATCTGTTTTGTTTTGTATAAAATTGTTACATGTTGAAATTGACTACGCTTTGTTGCTTTCCCAAATAAACATTTTTGTACATCTTGACATAATATTACATTTCTAAGTAAACGAGCTCAAACCAATTTGTCGTCAAAAGAGACAGTAACCTTAATGTGCAGTAATGCAAACAAACTGTCAGATATTTGCGATATTTTCTACTGTATTGTATGTAAACATAAAAACAAATACAGGGATTATCTATGAATTGTTTACTGTTTTCTACCATTTTTTAACATTTTTTTATCATTTTCTACCATTTTCTACCATTTTCTACTATTTTCTACTATTTTCTACTATTTTCTACTATTTTCTATTATTTTCTACTATTTTCTACTATTTTCTACTATTTTCTACTATTTTCTACTATTTTCTACTATTTTCTACTATTTTCTACTATTTTCTACTATTTTCTACTATTTTCTACTATTTTCTACTATTTTTCTACTATTTTCTACTATTTTCTACTATTTTCTACTATTTTCTACTATTTTCTACTATTTTCTACTATTTTCTACTATTTTCTACTATTTTCTACTATTTTCTACTATTTTCTACTATTTTCTACTATTTTCTACTATTTTCTACTATTTTCTACTATTTTCTACTATTTTCTACTATTTTCTACTATTTTCTACTATTTTCTACTATTTTCTACTATTTTCTACTATTTTCTACTATTTTCTACTATTTTCTACTATTTTCTACTATTTTCTACTATTTTCTACTATTTTCTACTATTTTCTACTATTTTCTACTATTTTCTACTATTTTCTACTATTTTCTACTATTTTCTACTATTTTCTACTATTTTCTACTATTTTCTACTATTTTCTACTATTTTCTACTATTTTCTACTATTTTCTACTATTTTCTACTATTTTCTACTATTTTCTACTATTTTCTACTATTTTCTACTATTTTCTACTATTTTCTACTATTTTCTACTATTTTCTACTATTTTCTACTATTTTCTACTATTTTCTACTATTTTCTACTATTTTCTACTATTTTCTACTATTTTCTACTATTTTCTACTATTTTCTACTATTTTCTACTATTTTCTACTATTTTCTACTATTTTCTACTATTTTCTACTATTTTCTACTATTTTCTACTATTTTCTACTATTTTCTACTATTTTCTACTATTTTCTACTATTTTCTACTATTTTCTACTATTTTCTACTATTTTCTACTATTTTCTACTATTTTCTACTATTTTCTACTATTTTCTACTATTTTCTACTATTTTCTACTATTTTCTACTATTTTCTACTATTTTCTACTATTTTCTACTATTTTCTACTATTTTCTACTATTTTCTACTATTTTCTACTATTTTCTACTATTTTCTACTATTTTCTACTATTTTCTACTATTTTCTACTATTTTCTACTATTTTCTACTATTTTCTACTATTTTCTACTATTTTCTACTATTTTCTACTATTTTCTACTATTTTCTACTATTTTCTACTATTTTCTACTATTTTCTACTATTTTCTACTATTTTCTACTATTTTCTACTATTTTCTACTATTTTCTACTATTTTCTACTATTTTCTACTATTTTCTACTATTTTCTACTATTTTCTACTATTTTCTACTATTTTCTACTATTTTCTACTATTTTCTACTATTTTCTACTATTTTCTACTATTTTCTACTATTTTCTACTATTTTCTACTATTTTCTACTATTTTCTACTATTTTCTACTATTTTCTACTATTTTCTACTATTTTCTACTATTTTCTACTATTTTCTACTATTTTCTACTATTTTCTACTATTTTCTACTATTTTCTACTATTTTCTACCATTTTCTACTATTTTCTACTATTTTCTACTATTTTCTACTATTTTCTACTATTTTCTACTATTTTCTACTATTTTCTACTATTTTCTACTATTTTCTACTATTTTCTACTATTTTCTACTATTTTCTACTATTTTCTACTATTTTCTACTATTTTCTACTATTTTCTACTATTTTCTACTATTTTCTACTATTTTCTACTATTTTCTACTATTTTCTACTATTTTCTACTATTTTCTACTATTTTCTACTATTTTCTA